GTGAACGTTGAAAACCGACATTGTGTGTGTTTGTGAACGTTGATCGGTGAGCGTTAAAAACCGACATTGTGAGGTGTAAACGTTATTCGGGTGAGCGTAGAAAACCCGATTGTGATAGTGGATTTCTCCCTGGCAGTGGGGAGTGGAGACGTAGACGGAAGGTCCGAACTCCGTGATCATTTGAGTGTGTTTGAGTTTGTCTTTGGCGATTTGCTTATGCATTTATCTTATATCGCCAATTGCCTTTACTCTTGTATATTTTGCCCTATCACATTTGTAGTTTGATTATGTCACCCTTGTGTTAGATTATATATCCTTGCATATATCTCATAGTATATCTCATTGCTAGGATATTTACCTTTGTTCATATTCCTTATTCTTGCTTGTAACATATTGTATATCTTTCTTACAAGAATAATTTATTAATTAGTTTTAATTGGTATAAAATCGGATTAGATTAGCATAAGACCCTAATCACCCCTCCTCTAGGTTCTAACATCGGGAACTTCCCGTTACATGAATTACCCACCCCCAGCTTTTTTGCAAAACTGGGTCTAATATTAAACTCAGTTGGATGACCGGGTTATCCTTAAGAATATTATGTATAAAATTCTCCAGGAACTTCCCGTTGAAGGTGGGAAATAGTTTAGACTCATATACCTATTGGAGTATCAGGGAGCAGTTTAACCTCATATACCGGTTGGAGGATTGAGAAGCAGTTTATACTCGTATACTCTTTGGAGTGTTCGTTCGACTTAATTGAACGTTATGACGCCGACTTCAACCAAGGTTTGGATGCTATTCTTGAGAGCGAAGCAAGCCTTGGTAGGATGAAGGATCCTCCTATGGTACGCACAGTACTTCTGATCCGTAGTATTGTCTGCTTCCTCCTGATCCGCGATAGGTGATAGCTTGATCTTGTTATTTTCAAAAAGGACTCGAAAATGGCTGGAACATCTTCGTCCTTGAAGGAGTACTCCTTTTGGAATCTTGGATCCAAAGTCTTTTGCTGTCTTTGTGGTTGTTGTTGCGACGTCTGATTAACGTCAACAATTGCTACAGGTGCCTTCTGCTTACCACAGGAGGCGAAGTTTGAGTTCAGAGGATTAGCCATCGGTTGGCTCCTTTCAGCCTTCTTCCTTCTGAGGAAGCGTTCGGCCCGCTCTCCTCACATCTTCAACTCTTTCTAGGTATTGGAGGGTGCTACTCCCATAACTTCCAACACGTCCAAAGAGAGGTTGTTGTGGCATGTTTGGAGGGTGAAGGCCTCTGTAGTTCATCGTCTTATTCTGGAAGCGCTTGATGAAGTCGTCGACCGTTTCCCCGTCCTTCTGTTTCTCCTCAAAGAGTGTCCTGATGGATATCTCGGCATCGTCATCAAAGAAGTTTCCGCAGAACAAGCTCTCCATATCATCCCAGCTGTTGATGTTTCCAGGTTTGAGACGGCGGTACCAATCGAAAGCAGGCCCACGGAGGGTGCTAACGAATGACCAAACCATCAAGGCTTCGTTACTAGAAATCATGCCCAAGTGGGATTTGAAATTGATCAAATGTTGAGTGGATGAGCCCTTCCCGTCGAATGGCATGAAGTTGATCAGGTTAAACTTTGCCGGATACAGGATCAAAGCCCACTCTCTTGGGTAAGAACACGGAATCCCGGTCTTCTTCACCTCTCGAGCAGACATCAGAGCGTCGAATTTGCACTCGAGATTCTTTATCTTTTCGTCCTCGTCTATATCCTATTTTGGACAATTTCTGATAGAAATAATACGGCCACCCCCAGTGTTGTTGTTCTCAGTGGGGCCATCCTCAGTGTTTTGATCAACGAGAGGGTTATTAGTATTAGGGTGTTCATCCCCATCTGAATTGCTAAACGCTTGGCTAATATCATTGCGACGACTAGATTCACCTATCTAATTCGACAAAACTCAGATTTGTTGGTCATGCTCTTCCCTCATCCGCAGCATAGCCATTTCCATTTCGAACTTGAATGATTGCTTCTGCTTGGATAGAGCATTCTCAACTATTTTGGCTACTTCCTCGGTGTTAATCATAAACACTTCGTGGGATTGTCCTGGGCTGGATACTGTTTTGTCAGAAGCGACTGTAGAGTTAGCATCTGATGCTTCATCATCCGAGGATAATCCCCTCTACATTCTCTGATAATCCCTGCGTCTAGTGGTCCCTGCGCGTAGCCGAGTCAGACGATGCGATACAAGGGGGTCAGAGCTAGAAAGTCGAGCCAACTTTCCCTTATCAACCATATTTACCGTAACTTTTGGAAATTCGTCACCTTGAATGACCGATCGTTTCTTATGGAAATGCTTTGGCTTGAACTTAGTCGTTCCATTGGAAATCCTCTGGAATACCGAGACCCTCTGCGAAGCAGTCTTGGGGCAGCTACACGCTGATAATACTACCCTGATAAGTTTGGTACACGAACAGTGAGAGTCCGCTTCTCGGGTACTTCTCTTTCGATATTTATTCGTACCCCCAGTCCGATAGTACAACCCATCGACGTTGCGGTCAGAGTAACCTATCGGCTGTTAGTTTGATTCCTCAGATGGAACGTTGCCGTCTGTTCGGCGTGTCTTCTTCTGAATAGGTAGCGCTTTATTGACTTTAGTAGGAATCACACGTT